ATATATATATATATATATATATATATACTGTATATATATTGTAGTTTCTAAAGAGCAGTACTGAATATGCAGTACTAAAAATGTTTTATGATCTTATTTTTAAGATTTAATCCCTTTATTTAAAAAAAAGATAAACAACTTTCAGATTCTTTAAGGGGTATGTAAATTTATGAGCAACTGTACTGGCTCTCTAAACCTCAGTGAAGAATCAATATATCTGATACTGAGAGGGCAGACGTTCAAACAATCGCCCTAACCTGATTACTTAGCAAAATAACATTAAGCCCTTTGAGCTAAATACAGGTCAAGGAAAAATGCAGCAGTGGTTTTACAGAATCAAGTCTAACCTCACTGAGAAAATGCTTCATAAAGCGAGCGTAGCATCATGCTCACCCGGCATGGGCCAGAAAACATCTCACACCATCCCCTCGTACGGCTGGTTGAGCCTGTGGCGAATAAGCTGGTATTCATGCTGAAGTAATACATGCTGTGGATGAGTATGAGTCAGGCAGATTCTGTATGCTTTAAATGACCTCATCACTCGTCGCTCATATTTACTGCAGGCCAATTTGTGAATGCATGCATGTGTGTTGAAAGCCAGCACGAGCTTAGAAGGTTAGGGCCTGCTGTGTGATTCAAAGTGACATGCCTCTTTGGCTCAGTATACACAAGAACTTAAGGGTGGGTATGATTTGGCTATCAGGACTGATATAAACACACACTCACACACACACATACACACAAATAAGCTCTGTTACAAAACCTAGGGAGCTATGAAGATGGTATGTTCAAATCGTAACGTAACAGAAGTAGCAACAGATCATTTATTTTGTATAGTGACACATATGCGTGAAATGGATTATCAAAAAAAGAAAAAAAAAAAGGCATGGTGGGGACCTGATATGCATTGTTTGTTAGTTGCTCAATGTGGTTTAAGAAGAGTGAATGATTGGATAAGTCCAACATACATCAGCAGAGAGAACTTATTGGAAAACAGAGTTATGATATTTGAGAAAAAAACAAAACAAATAAAAAAAAAAACTTTAATTTCATGTCTGCCAGTGTTATTTTATTATTATTATACTACTATAGTTGTTAATAACATTTTGAATTTTAATATTTATGTTTCAGTAATTATGTTTTTGTCAATTTTATTCATTTTTAATGTCTATAGTTTTATTCTTTTTATGTTAGTTTTAATTTTAGTTATTTTAGTAATTCAACTTAAACTAAACAAAAATTTGAAAAGTTTTTTTTTTTGCCTGTTTTTTTCCTTCCACTTTTTGCTTAACCATTATTTTACTTAGAAGAAATTAAAATGTTCTTATGGTTTTAGTTTAATTTTACAGTTTACATTTATTCATTTAGCAGATGCTTTTATCCAAAGTGACTTACAACTGAGGAATACAATAAGCGATTAATCATAAAGAGGCAAATAAGCGCACGAAGTGCTCGCAGTACAAAGTTTCAGGCATTGTTCAGAGTAGTACAAGCTAGACAGGGAGAGATTAAGGAAAGATGAAAATTGTCAGCATTCTGGATAGGGGTGGGAAGTTCATTCCACCAGCCAGGAACGGTGAACGGAAAAGTTCTGGAAAGCTGGAAAGTGCCTCTCTGTGATGGTACCACAAGGCGTCGCTCACTCGTAGATCTCCGACTTTTGGAGGGAATGTAGAGTGTCAAAAGTGAGTGGAAGTACGAGGGTGCTGAGCCTGTGGCTGTTCTTTATGCAAGCATCAATGTCTTGAACTTGATGCAAGCTGCAACCTGGAGCCAGTGCAGGGAGATAAAGAGAGTTGTGACGTGGGCTCTTTTGGGTTTTTAGTTTTAGTTAATTTTCGTTTTAGTTAACAATGTTAGCCCTTATGCTGATTTTGTGGTATCATATACTCGTTCCCCATGCAAAGGCTTTTTAAAAGGTAGGCAACTTAATTTTGCCACTTCCTAAGATACTTGTTTTGAATTAATTCTAAGGCAGAATATCACGTTTGCTTTATGACTACATGACGTGATCCCAAAATGCATTGCAGTGAACTCAGAGAAGAATCAGTGAACAGAGAAATGTCAATTAAAATGATAATCCATTCAATACCAAAAACTGTCTATTTTTATTTGTGTGTGCTACACATTTTTATGGCATGTTTCTGTCTTGAATTCACTGAAATACAATTCAAAAGAAATTCAAAGCAGACAATGCATTCTTGGAAATGAAGTGTTCTTCCAACGCGGCCCACAAAAAATACGTTATACCTATACATTTTTAGACTTTCGAACAAGTCTTCCTCAAGCCAACATTTAAAGTTTATCTCAACAAACGTAAATTTTTCTAGTTAAATTACTGTTATACGAATTATTATTACTGTAAATTACTGATATACGAATTTCTTACGATTTTAATTCGTTTTAATTGTCCTTCCTTAGATTCAGGTGAAATTTGCATCCCATTTGCTACCTCGATTCAAATTCAGGAATATAAAAGGCATCGTTAATTCAGTTTTGAATGACACAGCCCACATCACAGTGGCCTGCTGACCTCCAGAGACAAAAATCAAAGTGAACAGGTTGTAGTGTGTAAAACAGCATGAGACGTTATGAAGGAAAAAAGGAGAATGATTCATTTTAGTGTGGCATAAGCTGAAATATCTGTCGAGGCAGCGAGAGAAGGAGAGATCTGGCAGGCTTTCAAAGGCTCTCTACAATAAAGACTCCATCTCCTGTAATACCCGGCAGTCCGTCCAGCATTACAACACATTAACACTCTCAGTGCCTTTTAATTAGCCTGCCTGGCTTCTGCTCCGAGTGTGTGTGTGTGCATGTTCTTCCACATGCATGCGTAATAATATCAGTGTTGTTGTGTGTGATCATTCTAGTGCCTAATTTAAATACTACTGTCCGGGATGGTATGATGAAAGCAAAAGTGGCCCACTCTTCTGCTGTCTCTAGTAGGGTGGATGAATGGACATCCTGTTCCCACTCTAGAGGCCCGTGTGTGTGATATGGCCGCAGAGTGTGATGTGGCCGAAGCGTTTGTTTTGGTGCTTTGAAGACCCATCCCGCTCTCACTCTCTTGCATTGTGAAAAAGGCGCCCATTTAAAGACAGGATAAATATGAGACAATGCTATGATGTGCTCCGCCAGAAAACTTTAATTATGAACCCACCTTCCTCCCTCTGCACAACACTATATATAGCAATGCCACTGAGATAAAAGAAAGCGGGAGACAAAGGAAGGGAGAAACTGTCCTTTCTCTGCCCGTGTGCATGTGTTTAAAGTAGCGTTAGTGGCGCTGGGCTTGTGAACGCTATCTGGATGCTCTGAGAGGTCATTCCTGTTAGGAGTGAGGTGACAGCTGGTACATGAGGTCATGACGAAAAATCTTATAATGCAGGGCTCTTAACATGGTAGGTTATTCTGTTGCCTACTAAGATACCTCGTTGTCACTGAATTCTATGGCAACAGCGAATGTATCCTTTGTGGAAAAAGCAATTTGAGAAGGCAATGTGCAGAGATTAGTGGAAAAAATTAATCCAAGATGCTGGATGAAGCAAAGAAAAGGTTAGAAGAAATTAAAATGTTCTTATGGTTTTAGTTTAATTTTACAGTTTACATTTATTCATTTAGCAGATGCTTTTATCCAAAGTGACTTACAACTGAGGAATACAATAAGCGATTAATCATAAAGAGGCAAATAAGCGCAGGAAGTGCTCGCAGTACAAAGTTTCAGGCATTGTTCAGAGTAGTACAAGCTAGACAGGGAGAGATTAAGGAAAGAGATGAAGATGAAGTCTAAAAGTGACGAAAGAGATGAGTTTTCAGGTGTCGTTTGAAAATTGTCTGGGATTCAGCATTCTGGATAGGGGTGGGAAGTTCATTCCACCAGCCAGGAACGGTGAACGGAAAAGTTCTGGAAAGTGATTTTGTGCCTCTCTGTGATGGTACCACAAGGCGTCGCTCACTCGTAGATCTCCGACTTTTGGAGGGAATGTAGAGTGTCAAAAGTGAGTGGAAGTACGAGGGTGCTGAGCCTGTGGCT